TATTTTGTTATAGTGTTAAAATATGATTTAGTTAGGTCCATTTCACAAGGGCATTAATTGAACAATAATAGTATTACTCTACTTTTTTATTAATTAAATTTTAAAAAATCGCCTATAAACACATCATTCTGAGAAGGAAAGTAGTGGTTTTTAATGTTTTTTTTTAGGAAACAAGCACGGATAAAGAAGATTTTCGATGATGTTAGTCTATTGAACTAATATTTATAATGTAAAATTAATACTATACACTTACCAACTTCGTAATATTTGCAATTTCTTTACTCGAAGATGTGTGTTACAGACACAAAAAGTTGAACATAAAGTTACAAAAATCAATATTGGTTTGATGGTCGAAATTTCAACTCATTCATATTGAGGAAAATGATGTAATATATGGGACCTTTTTCTATTCATCAACACGAGACTCATTAGATTTTCTAGAAGAGTTGAAAATATGAGTCAATTATTGTACTTGATAGACAATCCTTCTGGTGCCGAAACTAACTTAGCCCATAAAATTATAATTCGTTCGATCCATTTAAGTTTGGTGTCTGGATGATATATTTTCTCTTTGACTTTTGTAATTTTCATTTTAAAAGTATTGAAAGGGGTACGCTTAACATAGTGGTCACTTGTCCATAATCTAGTCTCTAGATGATATAATGGTCAAGATGTTAATGCTGCAATAATGGCCTATATAAGAATGTCAAAGAAAAGTTATTTTCTTTGGGAAAATCATTATTGTTTGATGGGAAATCAATCTAGTGTTTTTTTCCTATAATTTAATCATAAGATTGAAACAAGAGCAATAATGCCAGAATATGTAGGGAGTACAAAGTTATTACTTTCTCCGTCTCATTTTATATGACATACTTTTTTTTTTAATCGGTTCAAAAGAAAATGCCATCTATTTATTATTAAAAAATACTTAATTATAAAATTTTACTTTTAATAAATAATTTACAACCACACAAATATGTATGAATTGCTTTAGAAAATTTTAATTTTTTTTAAAAAATAAATCAAATGATGATAAGTAAAATGAAACGGAGTGAGTATGTATTTATGTTTCTGAATTAGAGTTGTCAAAATTGACACAAGTTTATGTCTTGTTTCAGTATTATTGAGTTAGGTGATCAGTGATATGATAAAGAGGCTCTTGGTAAGTAGACCCTAATTGACTCTCTAAATTACTTTCAATTTTAGTTTGGTGGGTGGTAGGTCGAGTTTATTAGAGATTCATTTAAATTGGATAATATAAATTGAAATTTGGTTATGTTGATTTGAGGGATTCCATTCAAATGAGGAACGTTTTTGAATAATTTGGTAATGATGGGGTATATTTGGTCCTATATAATCAGAAACAAATTTGGTTAATAGAAGAAAATAGAGGGATATATTGCTTATATTAAAAATGATTTTTAGCGATAATTAATTAACGATAATAGATTAATTATCGTTAAATATATCTTTGTAGAGGCAATTAGTAGTGATAATCACATTTAACACTCTTTGTAAATGTCCTTCAAATTTATAGCAACATTGATTCCAGTGACAATTAACTAATACAGATTAAGACTTTGCTACTCTTTCTTAATGTGTATATTTATTGAAGCTAAAAGTTGTTTTTGTAGTGATTTGACCCTTTCACCTACCAAACAATCCCTTAATATTAATAGGAAAACATGTATTTAAGAGGAAAATAATCATTTCAACCTTTATTAAATAAGGAAAACTTAGTAAACTTGTATTGGTTATTTTTATTGAACATTAGAAGAGTTAAAACAACCATTAAAATGGGAAGAAGATAGTAATATATTTTTTTTGTTTTCCAATGCTATTCAATCCTTATTTTAAAGTCTCGACTAATTAGAAATGATATTACATAAAACACGTTAAATGAAAATATATTATCTTTCATGGCTAATGCTCGAATTTTAAATCCTACAACAACATTTCACGGAAACTATTGCATGTATTGGTGAATTTCAACATAATACAAATATCTGGTTTTTCCAGAAAAAATCAACCATATAATATACAGCTTTAATTCGAAGACAAATATATTAGTTGACCAGCCAGCCCTGCGTTGACCCCAAGTGCAGTGTTTCGGTACGGCACTCTTTCGATGCATGTTTTTAATTTTTAAAGTACATTTCTTAGAGATTGTTTGACCTATTATCGTTTATTTATTATTTTGACCAAATTTAAATTGTAACTAACTACTCATCCTTCTCGATTTATTTATCAGGCATTCTCTTTTTATTTTCGTTCAAAAAAATGTCTTTTTCCTTTAAAGAAATTTTTAATTTACTTTTCACGTGACATGTTTAAAATCATAAAGTTATAAGATATTTTGGTACATTTGTTTTAATTTTAGACTACAATATTCAAAAGTCTAATATACATTCTTAAATTTTGTATCATATTAAAAAATAGGACAAATAAATTGAAATAGAAAAAGTATTTGATATTTATCACGGCGACTAAAGTTATGTGTTGCTTACTCATTACGCTCTTAGTCTACTTCCATCACGACGAACTAAAACAATGTAACCAATCCAATTTAAACCCAATTTATGTGGTACAAACTGAATGTCGAGAGTCAAACAAATTTAAAATTAATCGTGAATATAGATGTGAAACTTACAATTTTATTGAAACAAAATATATGTATTTGAAAACTACTACAAGTCATAATTATTGACCGTTTAAAATTTTTAAATAATAGATGAAAATTTACGATAAAAATAGATTTATTTAGATTTTAAAATCCAAAAGCTGCCATGTTTTTAGTTAAGACAGGGGAGAAACAAATTAAACATACCCAAATCCGAATTATTAGAAAGAACGCAATTTAATTTAATTTAATTCATTTTCATGGACTAAACCAGGGGTGAAATTTGAAGGCATGAACATTTTATTTATGTATTCTGATATTATATTAAAATATGATTATATTATTTAAAATCTAAAATTATTAAAAAACTCACTTTAATTGTAATACATTTGAGCAAATGTACATCTGATGAGAAATGTCTATATTAACATCACATTCAATTAACTTTGAAAGGAAATTTTCCATATTTATAGCAACTTTTATGGGCATTAATTTTTAGATTCCCCTAATCTAGTTAATGAGAGAATAAGTGCATATAATGTTTACCGTTGGGATTTATTAGGGAGGCATGCACAATATAATCATGGCACATATATGTGTATCAGGCGGTTCGGTTGAATAATTTGAAATTAAATTGATTTGAATATGAAAAGTTCTTTTGATATATAATTTGAATGGTTTTAAGTTGTACTTTTTCGCAGAAACATAAAACGATCTACGAGTTATGAAAACTTTTTAAAAATTTTCATAATTAACAATCATATCAAACGAAAAAAAAAATCACAGTTCATAAAATAAGGTATCAAAATAACTTAAAATACCGCATTGATAAATTATATAACTCCATGTTTCTTTTACAAATAAATATTTGCAATTACAAAGTTCTTACTATACATAATTTTATAAAAAATCACTACTCAACAATAGTAATAATTAGTTCTTTAATATGATCCGTGCATATGGTACATACAATTTTTCCACGCCAAACATGAGTCTACTTTTTTTCATATAAAATTTAGAATGATCAATCTATCTATTTTCTTACAGTACAAAATAGAAATTTATGGATCAAATTTTACTTATGTTTCAAAAAAAAAATGATGTTGCATCCTAAATCATGTGTTTTTTTTTAAAAAAAATAAATTATAAATCATAATTTTAAAATTACATATCGAAATATTAATTTAATATTATAACTTCATATCGCATGATTAAATAAATGGATCTAACGTTGAGATCTAAAGTGGCCACATTCTAATTAACAAAATCATCCAATAATGGAGGTTTATTAATTTTGTGAGGGCAAATAAGGAAAAAATTATATGTAATGACATGAGGCTAACGTGTGCCTTGACATCACTGTACAGGTTGCTCATTACATTTAAATGTTGAATTTTCTCATCTACAAACTTAACAACAACCGTCTACTTCAAACATTTAAAAACCGACCGCTTTGTAAAATAACACCACACATACATATGTGGTCTATATTCAAACTTATTATATATGAAAATTAAGTAAATAAATACAATAAGTTTACCTAGTCTTTCTATAGAGTACTACTATTTATAATTATCATGTTTTATTTCTTAAGAATTTATAAAAAAAAAGTGTGTGTTCACTAATTTATCCTTTTTTGACAAATATTTTTAGCAATTTTTGGCCATATGAGGAATACCCCATTAGTGTGATGTTCAATAATTATTTCAAATTATTTATCATTTTAAAAGTGTAAAAGAATTTATTTTTTATCCATAGTAATTCTCCCTCTGTTTGAGTTTATATTGTTTTTTCTCTTTTACTTATCTGTTAACAAATCAAGATAGTTTTTTTTTTTAATTTTCCTTCATATTTTCTTTAGAATTAAATGATTATACCGGATAATAATCAAATTTAGAGTTTCAAACCAAACATAAATGTCCAGTAAAATAAAATATTTAATAAAAATACACATTATTGAAATATAGATAAAAATAAATAGTCAAAACTTCTTTCCCTAATTAATATTACAACCCATAATTTGAGATCTATGGAAAACGCCTACTTTCCTTGTCCCTAATTACTTGTCCACTTTTCATTTTTTACTCCTTAATTACTTGTTAATTTTGACAAATCAAGAAAGAATATTTTTTTTTTACCTATTATACCCTCAATTAATTATTTTGGAAAAGGTAGAACTTCTTGAAAATGTTAAGTTTTAAATTCATCTACTTTAAAATTAATAAGAGTAAAATTGTAAACTCACTATGTCCATAATTATTCCAACTTAAAAGTGAACAAGTAATTAAGGATGGAGGGAGTAATTATTACTCTGTATATGGTAACAAAATAATCAAACAAATATGTTATTGTCATTACACACGTACCAATGATACCATTTTTCTTGTATAAATAAAAACCTCATTCTTCTGATTTCCTACCATTAAACTAAAGCTCAAATAATTCACTACTTGTCTCTTTTGTTGAACCAGAACTCATCTTAACAATGGCGCAAATTGTTATGGCGACGCAATCAGAAATTCCTCATATTGCAATTTTACCTTCTCCTGGTATGGGTCATTTAATCCCTCTTGTCGAATTCGCTAAGAGAATCTTTCTCCATCATCAATTTTCTGTTACTCTTATCCTCCCTACTGATGGCCCTATTTCTAATGCTCAGAAAATTTTCCTGAACTCACTTCCTTCTTCCATAGATTATCATCTTCTTCCTCCGGTTAATTTCGATGATTTACCTGAAGATGTTAAAATCGAAACTCGTATTTCACTTACTGTTACTCGTTCTCTTCCTTCACTGCGTGAAATTTTGAAACCCATTATTGAATCGAAGAAAACAGTTGCGCTTGTTGTTGATTTGTTTGGTACTGATGCATTTGATGTTGCTATTGATTTGAAAATTTCTCCCTATATTTTTTTCCCTTCTACTGCTATGGCTTTGTCTCTGTTTCTCTACTTGCCGAAGCTTGATGAAACGGTGTCGTGTGAGTACAGAGAGTTGCCCCACCCGATTCAGATTCCGGGTTGTACCCCGATCCACGGAAAGGATCTACTCGACCCGGTTCAAAACCGGAAAGATGAATCTTACAAATGGCTTCTTCATCATGCGAAGAGGTATGGAATGGCAGAAGGGATAATAGCAAACAGCTTTAAGGAATTGGAAGGAGGAGCCATTGGAGCTCTACAGAAAGAAGAACCCGGTAAGCCAACCGTTTACCCGGTTGGCCCGCTTATTCAGATGGATTCGGGTAGTAAGGTTGACGGGTCGGAGTGTCTGACGTGGCTGGATGAACAGCCACGTGGCTCTGTGTTATACATATCGTACGGTAGTGGTGGGACCCTCTCTCATGAGCAACTTATTGAAGTTGCAAAAGGCTTGGAAATGAGTGAACAAAGGTTCTTGTGGGTAGTTAGATGCCCTAATGACAAAATAGCTAATGCTACTTTTTTTAATGTCCAAGATTCAACTAATCCTCTTGAGTTTTTACCAAAAGGGTTCTTGGAAAAGACAAAAGGGTTTGGTTTAGTGGTGCCTAATTGGGCCCCACAAGCCCGAATCCTGAGCCATGAGTCAACGGGTGGGTTCTTGACTCACTGTGGATGGAACTCAACTTTGGAGAGTGTGGTCCATGGGGTACCACTTATAGCTTGGCCACTCTATGCAGAACAAAAAATGAACGCGGTTATGTTAAGTGAGGATGTAAAAGTGGCACTAAGGCCAAAAGTCAATGAAGAAAATGGCATAGTGGGAAGATTGGAAATTGCTAAAGTTGTGAAAGGACTAATGGAAGGTGAAGAAGGCAAAGGAGTGCGCAGTAGAATGAGAGACCTTAAAGATGCAGCAGCCAAAGTGCTTAGTGAAGATGGTTCTTCTACAAAAGCATTAGCTGAATTGGCTACTAAATTGAAGAAAAAAAGTGTCAAATAATTGATGTAGCTAGTCATTATTTTGTTGCAGAGGACCTTTCTCTGGTACGAGAGGACCAGTTATCGTGCCATGGTAAATGCTGCTGGGTTCAAAACTCTCCTATGTCTCTAGTTGTTCCATTCCGTAGTTAGTAATAATTGTGCTTTGCAATTGAAATGTTAGACATGTTTTGGCTTATGATTTTGTGTACATCTATGAAAACTACAATTGAATTTGTTTTGAATTATATTCTTACTACTCTAATTAGTGTATGTATGATCATTATTTTCTTAAAGAGCATATAAAAAGTCGAAAGGTGTACATACTATTTTGATTAAAGGAGGTCTAATAAATTTATCTAGCTAGGTTATTGATTGTTGTATTATGAAGTAGTAGGTAAGCTGGATGATATCATCAGTCATCAGCAAGAGAGGAGGACCCAACCACCAAGAAATTGTGTAAAAATCATTGTGGGCACTAATTGGGACTAAATGGAGTAGTGGTTGGCATTGACATATGAGGTTTATCACCAACAAGGTAGAAAGATATTTATTCTATGTGTTGTGTTGTAGTGTGAGTACAATTTTGCATGCAGGGACAAGACTACAACAACCAAATGTATTTATCTCATCACTAATTAAGTTTGAGTGTTTATTTTTAAAAACGATATCAAATTTAAAAAGGACTATAGTCTATATAGTTATTAAGCCTTAAATTTTTTTATTTTAAAACTATTATCCGTCCATCTATTGACTCAATAGTTATCTTTGCGATTATTTTCTAGCTTAAAAGTATCTCTAAGAGCAATGATTGACTTGTTGAACATGTGACATCACCAAACTAGTTCTAAATATTGTCACTAGAGATTGCTTCTTTCATTACTTACTAAGGAATATCCTAGCATGGGCACTCTTAACAATATTGTTGTCGTGCAATATGTGATCCAAATTAAGTCGTACTTTGAAGAAGTAAAAGCCTTTTCCAAGCTTTTCTTCCTTGTACAGGCATCATATCAATCTCAATCAGTTCAACAAGAAAATAGAGAAATTTATTTTATTTATAATTATCCTTGTCTCTGTCATATATTTTGGACCACACAAACACACAGAGGTATCAAAATTTAATTAGATTTTATTGTTATCGTTACTTTTTCGTTTCAGACCAGAAATTATTGTCCATCAGCCATCAAGATGGTCCAATATAATGTAGGTGATCAAACACACACATATATATATAGCAAAGTCCGCCATTTTTTACTCTGATTTCTTATATATTTTCCACACGTTCTAACTTCTAATAATATCATTATTTACTTATGTGGCTTATCTGAAGATATAAGTGATGGTCATGTACAACAAATAATAAGGTACCACGTCAAAAATTGAAAGCAACTGTTTTTCAAAAAACAAAAAAGTGCATTTTCTAATTTGGTATTATAACTTTTGGTCTATCACAATACACAAGACAAAATTAACACATCAAAAGACGAAGTCATCGTTAATTGCTTCTAGAACTAGAATATTACCCTAGCTAATATATATTGCTCCACAGTCCACAACATAATTGACTACGTTTTCTGGAAGGAGAATTATGTCACGTCCTTAGTTTCAGCTAAGCATACATGCGAACACTTGATAACCTACTCACGTAGGTAATCATAATTATGTTATGTCAACAAGAAAATTGTTAAAGGAAGCTTTGTCTATATTAGGGACTGTTGGGTATGTAGCAAGAGTAATGGGAAATGGAGGGAAGATGAAAAGAGAGAAACTTGAAAAGTTGGGAACTATGAAAGAGGAACTTGGAAAACGTTGGAAACTTGCAAAGTCCTCTTATGCTTTATTGAAAAGGCATTTGTCCCTCATCGGTGGTGGAAAGAAAAATAGGAGAGTTTAAATATAGAAACACTCCTATTAATTGATAAAAGGGTTGGAAAGAGAGACCCCCCTCGCGCCGTCGTCGTCGTCATCGCTCGGCTTCGGAAAATCGAAAAATGATCGAGAGATTAGTTTTTGGACAAAGTTTGTTTTAATTATTTTAGTTAATTATTTAATTAAACTAAATGGCCAACGTTTTAATGAGTTAATTAACCAAAGCGTTTCAATTAATTAGTTAATTAACCCGACCTGACTCGGATCCACGCGCGACTTGTTTTATTTAAATCTTTCCCGTTTTATTTGAATTTCCCTCCGTTGGAAGTGACTGTTCTGAAAGGTTGCAACTTTCAGAAACAGCCATGACCGTTTGAAAGGTTGCAAACTTTCATGAATGGTCGTGTGGATTCTGAAAGGATTGCAACCTTTCGGAACAAGTTCCTCTTGCTTATAAATACATTGATTCTTCAGACTTATTCCTTACGAATTTTTCTGATGTCTTCTTCTTCTTCAACACAAAATTTCTTCGTGTACTTTACTGCTGTTGAGTGGTTCGCTGACACCAGAGTTTTGGGTATCAATACACTGGTGATTGAGATCATTCTATCTTGGGAGGACATATTCCAAATCAAACCTCGGATACTAGAGGGGAATAATTTCCTTAAGGGGACACTGTGCATTCAGTGGGCTTGATCTTTTCTGATTCTGTTTTTTCCAGATTGTGTGGTACGTTTTTTACAGATTTTAATTTTGTCAATTAATTTTTGTTCATCTATTCTTACTGGTTTATTAAACTTTGGTTACTTCGTGTTTCTGCAAAGTTTATTGAAATCAGTAATTCTGATTTTTTAAACACAGATTGATAACAGGGACTTGATGATTTAGAAATGAATCCCCCCCCCCCCCCAAAAAAAACCAATTTATATTAGTTATTTAGGGTCTTGTGTGCAAATATTAATTGTTACACAAGTTCCTCAATATTTACTAGTTAATTCCTTTTCTAGAATTTTTTTACAAGGCTAGAAAATTTCAAGAACGTAACTTTATCTTAGAAATTTCATAAAAATCGAACGTCAAATTTCCATAGCTTTCTAGAACTTTTCCACAAGCGCGCCTCCTAGTTGTGTAAGCTTCCCACGTGAGATATTTGTCAAATGACACCACGGTAGTATGATGATGTAGCGGGTCATAAAAAATGACTCATCTTGAATCAATTCACATAATTGAGGGGTATTTTAGGCATTTTTCTGTTCCTTGAATTAGGATGTGTTTTTTAGTTTTCTAATTTTTCTCATATTTAATTTGTTTCAAAATATTTTGGAAAAAAACATATTTTTGTTTTAAATCGATGGGGAAAATTTTGATATCTAAGGAGTGATATGTGATGAACCCACACAGAAAATGTATACAACTCTACTTGGCATCACAATATATATATTGATCCACAATGACAATATAATGACCTACAGATGATGCAAGTTTAATTTGGATTTGACTTTTTAGCTGCTTGATTTCTCGAGTGCAAATATCAAAGATAAAATATAGTAGTACTGAAATAGTGCTTAATTTATGACCATGACATTTACACAATTGAGGGTCTTAAAAAGACGTGTCATCATTCATGATAGAGAACTAAGCCTTGATTTATCTAATTTATTGATTGGACAAAAGTTAGAAAGGAGTAATAAATTCACTGATAATGAATTAAATTTTGATAAATGTCCTACCAGGACACCACTATATTCATTAAATTATTACATGTTCATAAAATAATATACGAGCCCGACTTATTAATTATTATAGTATAGTAGAGATAAGGGTCAAATGCCCCTTCAAGCTTTAGCCATATTTCCAACTACACATTTAACCTTTGTGGGGATTCTATTATCTTCTCGATTTTTTTTTTTTAATATTTGTTCACCCTCAGACGCTGATGTGTCCACATACGTGAACTCACCTCCGTGAGGCGCGTAAGAATGTAATAAAATGTCCATGTGGAGTCCAAATAAGCCTCCCAACAGTAACTTTACTCTTTATTTAACCATACATTTATTTTTATTCTTTCCCAATTCATTTATCTCCATCTCTTTTGTTCTTGACAAAAGGCTCTCTTCTTTGTTCTTCATCCACCATTTCAAAGCTTGAATTTAGTTGTTGTATCTTCTCCAACTAAGATTGAATTTAGGGTTTGCAATTTTCTCGAATTTCATATTGAACAATCGAAATCTTCCCCAATTCGACAGCTTGATTTTTTTTCACTTTGTGTTATTAGGATTAGTAAGTAAAGATCTAACCTTTTCTCAGAAGAAATAGTAAGTAAGCTTTCCGAGCAACGTCAGTAATGGAAGATCGTAGAGAAAAGGAAGAAGAACTAGAGATTAGATTAGAAAGAAGATAGTAGAGATTAGATTAGGAAGAAGAAAGGGTCAATTAGGTTCATAAAAGGTAAAGGTAAAGGTAAAGTTTTGTGACACGTGTCAATTTGTGAGTCGTGTAAATTCATGAGGTCCACTAATATATACGTGGACAGCGCGTGTATACAAACATTTTTTATAAATCTGATTTTTGTGGACACATCAGCATCTGAGGGTGAACTAATATTAAAAAAAAAAAAGTTCAGGGGGGTAATAGAACCCCCACAAAGGTTAAGTGTGTAGTTGGAAATATGGCTAAAGCTTGGGGGGGCATTTGACCCCTTTTCTCTAGTATAGTATATGAAAGTTATCCAATATGTTGTGAGATAATATCCAATATACAGTATGTAATTTCTTTATTATTTTGACTTTTTTTTGGGTTTGCTAAAATTCTGTAAATTTAATTATCGCTTTTACAGTTGAACAGACGAAAATAACACATACATTATGCATACATCACTTTCATATTTTTCTTAGCATGGCCCCTGGCTCTTTAAAAGAGACTGTATTCACACCCTGTGAGTAGACTTTTAGCTTCATGACTGATAAACCTTTTCCATTGATATTATGTATCATATGTATACAAGTTTCTAATTATTTCCTCCGTCCCATTTTAACTATTCTTTAATTCTTTTCATGTTCATTAAAAAGACAATTAATTAAAGTATTGTTTATTAAATTATTTTAATTTATTAGATTTTTTTTTGAAACTTGATAAGTATTAATACTGAAATGTGACCAACAAAGATTATGGTGGGATGAATAAGATCCTTTATCTTTGACCAGAGGTCTCGGGCTAGAGCCAGTGAAAATGGGAAAAAATCCTGTTAAGTAGTGCAAGTGAACTTACTCTTGAGTATGCAAGTTTGGGTGTGCCAAAGCTAGTAAGGACACACTAGGCCACTCTGTTTTAGGGTTACTAATATTGAACCAAGATGGTGGAGTTCACATCTTCCAATGGTTGCAAATTCCTTGTACATGGATTATTATTTTATCAGTTTTACACT